TGGCTTCATTATGGTGAATAAGTTTCCTTCTGTGCTTAGTTTGTTGAATGTTTTTGTCATGAAAGGGTGTTGAATTTTGTCAGAAGCTTTTTCTGCATCAGTTAAAATGATCATGTGGTTTTTACCTTCATTGTGTTGATGTGGAGTATTACATTGATCAGTTTTTGCATGTTGAACCATCCTTGCATTCAAGGACTAAATCTCACTTGGTTATGGTTTCTGATCTTTTAAATATGTTGCTGAATTCTGTTTGCTAGTATTTTGTTGAAGATTTTGCATCAGTGTTCATAAGAGACATTAGCCTGTAGTTTTCTTTTTTGTAATGTCTTAGTCTGAGTTTGCTGTCAGGGTGATGTTGGCCTCATAGGATGTGTTGGGAAATGTACCCTTCTCTTCAGTTTTTTTGGAAAAGTTTGAGAAGGATTGATGAGTCCATATTTTAGCATTTGGTATAATTCACTAGAGAAGCTGTCAAGTTCAGGGCTTTTCTTTGTTGGGAGATTTTTGATTACTGATTCAATCTCTTTAAAAGTTTTAGGTCTATTCATATTGGTTATTTCTTTGTGATTTAGTCTTGGCAGGTTTTGTTTCTAGGAATTTGTTTCATCTAGGTTTTCCAGTTTGTTGGGCTAAAGTTTATAGTACTTTTTTTTTATTTCTTAATCCTCAATTGAGGATATGTGTATTGATTTTAGAGTATTAGGAATGGGGAGGGGGGAGAGAGAGTCAGGCAGACACAGACAGAGACACATTGATTGGTTGCCTCCTGCACCCCAGTTGGAGATTGAACCTTCTGCCTAGGCGTGTGCCCTAACTGGGGATCAAACCTGCAACCTTTTATTGTATGGGATGATGTTCCAAACAAACTTAGCCACCTGGTCAGGGCTCCTGTTTTTTAATGTAAGCATTTCTATAAATTTTCCCTGTTACTGTGCTTTTGTGGTATCCATAAGTTGTGTTTCCATTTTCATTTGTCTCTATCTTCTAATTTCTATTGTGATTTCTTCTTTGATTCATTGATTTTTCAAAGATGTGTTAACTTCCACAGTTTTACAAAGTTTTCAGTTTTTCTTTTGTTGTTGATTGCTAATCAGAGAAGATACCTGGTGTGATATCTATGTGTTAAAAATCTGTTGAGACTTAATTGGTGGTTTACCATATGATCTATCCTGGAAAATTTCCCATGTTTATTGAGATGAATGTGTATTCTGTTGAGTGGAGTGTTCTGTATATGCTTATTAGATCTAGTCAATTTCTGGGTTGCTTACATCCTCTTACGTTGTTCTGACTGATTTGTTCTATCCATTATTGTGAGTGGGGTGTTGAAGTCTGTTACTTCCATTGTAGAATTGTGTATTTCTTCCTTTAGTTTTGTCAGTCTTTCTTCATACATTTTGATGGTCTGTCATTAGGTGTGTAAATGTTTATAATTGTTTTTCTTCTGAATATATAGAAATTTTTGTTAATACATAATGTCCTTCTTTGTCTCTTGCAACCTTTTTGATTTAATGTTTATTTTGTCTGATATTAGTAAAGTCACCTCTGCTCTTTTTGGTTATTATTTGCATGGAATATCTTTTTCCATTCTTTCACTTTCACCTTGTTTGTGTCTTTGGATCACACGCCAGTCTCTTGTTGACAGGGCATAGTCTATCTTTTTTTTTTTTAAAGCAGTTTTGCCTATTTGTCTTTTGAATGGGAGAATTTAATCTATTCACATTCAAGAGAATTACTGATAAGGAGAGACTTCTGTCATGGCACTGTTTGTTTTCTATATGCCTTACAGCTTTTTCTGTTCCTTATTTCCTGCATTACTGTCTCTTTTTGTGTTTGGTAGATATTTTATAGTGAAATGTTTAAATTCCTTTCTCATTTTTAAAAATGTATATTCTGTATCTGTTTCCTTGTTGGTTATTGTTAAGATTACATTTAATGCCCTGTAAGTTATAACACTAATATGAATTTTTACCACCTGACTTCAGTAACATACAAAAACTCTGTGCACTTTTACATGTTTGTCCTCACTCTGTTCAGTTGTTGATGTCACAATATTACATCTTTATACAATGTGTATCCCCAGATGTAAACTAGTAATTTTAAAAAATTCATTAGTATCGTAAGTTACATAGAAAACAAACTTTGGAATTACAAAGCAGAGTTGTAGTAATATTAGCTTTCACATGAATAATTTTTTATTTTCATTAAATGTATTAATCTTTTAAATCCTGTAGAACACAAAAAGTTCATTTACAAGCCATTATTATAACAGTAGTAGCTTTTATAATTGCCATGTGTTTACCTTCAGTGGAGATCTTTATTTTTCCATATGGCTTTAAGTTATTGTCTAGTGTCTCTTCATTTAGTTTTGCAGAAATTCATTGAGTATATTTTGGAGACAGGTTTAGTGGTCACAAACTCCCTCAGCTTTCATTTATCTGTAAATTCCTTAATTTCTCCCTTATTTCTTGAAGGACAATTTTGTCTGATACAGCATTCTTGCTTGATAGTTTTGTTTTTGTTTTTTCTTTTAGCACTCTGAATATATCAGTCCACAATGTGCTGGCCTCCAAAGTTTTTGATGAGTAATCTCATATTTTTATTGAGAATTCCCAGTGTATGATGATTTGTATCTATCTTGGTGCTTTCAAGAATCTCTTTTTGTCTTTTTTGAAAGTATGAGGAGGATGTATCTCAGTGTGGATCTCTGAGTTCATCTTACTTGGAGTTTGTTGATACTCTTGGACATTTATGTTCATGTCTTTCTGCAAAGTTTTCAGCCATTATTTTTTCAAATAGTCTCTCTGTTTTTTTTCTCCTTTTGGAACTCCCATGTTGTATAGGTTGGTTTGCGTGATGGTGTCCTTTATGTGTCTGTTTGCTTTTCTTCAATCTCTTCCTCAGACTCCAGTTTCCAGAGTCTGTTGTTCTTGCCCTTATGGGGAGTCTGTCCATTTTTATGGTTTCTGATGTAGTCTGTGCCAATGACAGCCCTGATTTTTATTGCTTACCCTATTTGATTATGTTGGCTATCACTTCAGTCTCGCATGTCCTAACAGAAATGAACTCTTCCTTTCTCAGTCAGCTCCTTTTATGAATTTTCTTAGCTGGAACCACCATTTATCCGCAGCTGAAACTTTAGTCTTTGATTCTCTATGAGGGATTAAGACATCTTAGAACATTTTAAGAAGTTTTCTTCTGAAGTGTACTATACTGTGTATTTTGTAGCTATTGTTAAAAGAAAAAGGAAAAGAGACCTTAGTACAATCCTTAGCTTACTGAGGTGTAAAAATCCTTAAAAGATGATTGAGAGGTCAAAGGCAATAATGCTTGCCCTGAGGCACTTTTTTTTTGGTAATAGAATTAATATGTATATGAAATAATTAGCAACACTAGACAGTCAAGCTTTTTTACCAAATGAGAGGTCGTACCACCTTTATTGTAAGCACATTCCGTTACCTATTTAAAAGTTGCAGCACTCCCCCTCAAAATACATATTCATACTACACACTCTATGTACTACTTACTTCTTTTCTCTCCTGCTTTGCTTTTTCTCATGTGCACTTACCACAATCCAATGTATCTTAAAAAATTGTCTTGTTTATTGCCTATTCTGCCCTCTTTCTCCCAGCTTAAATGTAAGCTCCATGAAGGCAGAAATTTTTATCGCTTTTGCTCATGACTGTATCTACGAAGTCTGATACATAGTAAAACATTCAGATACTTATACATGAATGAACACTAGTGTCTTAGATGAAGCCTTTGTGAATTATGTGATAAATGAACTAGGTTATAAAAGTTGGATAACAGAGCAAAGTAATTGGCTCAATTACTTTCTAGCTCTGAAGATTTCTTCCTCCCTATTTTGAATCTTTAAGCCTGTATTCAACATTTTGTGGTTATATTCTGAACCATAGGAGCCCTTTGGAGACAAAGTTGTTCTTTAGTAGTAGAGTGTTAATGTTCAGAGCAGATATACTTCTTATAAAATCAGGTAGCAGTTTGGATTCTCTTTTGTTATGAAAAATTATTTGAATTAACTGTGAATGCTGTTCAGTCACATTTTTTTGTGACTGTAGGCAGAGATTTTGGTTCTTTGGCTTAGAACCAGCTGCATACTGTTTGAGGATTGACTATTAAATACACTGTTTCTCTGTAGCTGTTTTCTTTCTGGGATGGGCAGTTTGCCTAAAGAATAAAGCCTTTTACCCTAGATTCTCTTTTCCTTTGTATAGAACTTCTTGATAGTATGATTTCATCTCAGCTGGGTTTTATTGCTTTTCTGTTGATATATTTTGGTTCCTATGCTGAGTTCAGGCTATCTTTTGAATATAGTATGTCATGTGAAGGCAACAGTAACAACTCAGTCTCTGGAGCCAGATTGACTGGGTTTGATTTTTGATCTGTCTTTTACTGTAGATTCCCTGGAATCTCAGCTTCTGCAAAATGGGGGTAGTAATATCTTGAGTGCTGTGACAGTCAAATTAATTAAAATATATTAAGTACTTAGTGTAGGTACATCATACGGTTCAATAAATATTTGTTGTGACTTGTAAAATTAAAAAGTGTACTGTATTATGGTTATCTTTGTAGGATTATAGAGAAGGCCGTTTTTGACAGTGCTAAATATAGAAGAATTTCCTGTTAACTCCTCATTCCTTACCCTGCTTCATTTTTCTACATGGCACTTATTATTTGATGTTTTATGTTTATTAGTTTGTTTTCTCCTATTGAATTACAGCTGTGAGGGCAAGACCCTAGTTTTATTCACAGCTGTGTTCATTCTAGTGCTTAAAATAGTATCTGGTGTATAATATCCAGCAAATATTTGGTTAATGAGTAAATTAAGGTGCATACGGGCAACTAATGGTTTTTTAGGGGGTATCTGTTTGGTTTCAATGAGTTAACTGCTTTTTATAAGGGGAGCATATTTTGTATTGGCAAGGCTTCAGTGAATTTTTGTTGCCAAAGGCATCTAAAAACGTATGCTTCCTTTTGTTAAGCTATATGTGAAACAGAGCCTGAACAGCCCGTTCGACATTATCCATTATGGGTGAAAGTAGAAGGTGAAGTAGATCCAGAGCCAGTTTATATTCCAACACCTTCTGTCATTGAGCCTACGAAACCATTATTGTTGCCTCAGCCGGAAATTTCGTCTACTACTGTCAAGGGCAAACTGCTGACTGGAATTAAACCTGCACGATCATATACTCCCAAACCTAATCCTGTGGTAAGCCTAGAGTTTCATCTTTTTTTTTTTTTTTTTTAATTTTTTAAATTTAGTTTTAGGAAGAGGGGAAAGGAGGGAGAAAGAGAGGGACAGAAGCATCAGTGTGCAAGAGCAACATCAGTTGGTTGCCTCTTGTACCTGTTCTGACTGGGGACCAAACCTGCAACCCAGGCATATGCTGTGACTGGGAATTGAACCGTTGACTCTTCATTTTGTGGGACGATGACCAACCAACTGAGCCACACTGGTCGGGGCTGGAGTTTCATCTTACTGCAAGTTGCAAAAATCATTGTAAAGATGATGGGTTTCATCCAAATCTTCGGTTTGTATTTTGTGAATCATTTTTCTTTCAGGTAATATGCCTGTAAGCCGTCTTCTTTCTGATTTAATTGGTTTAGATGCTGGTACCTCAGTTTTCTGTTGGGGCACATGCCTAGGTTACCAGTGTGGTCCCCAGTCAGGGCATTTGCAGAAGGCAACCAGTCGATAGTTCTCTGTCAGTTGATGTTTCTCTCTCTCCCTTCTTATCTCTCTCTCTCTAAAAGCAATGGGATAAAAAAAAAAGTCCTCTGTTGAGGATTTAAGAAAAAACAAACTCTGATTCCTATATTGAGTAATTGAGATGTAGTACATGTTATTAGTAGAAAACCATTAAGAAAAAGCTTTAAAAAGTAACTCATCTTCTTAAAGCAAGAAGTAAAGTTCAAGATTTAAAAAAACAGTTGATATATTATGTCTATGTTAAGACTGATAGGTAAAAGAGCTGTTAAGCATTTCTGATTATTAACTCCATTTCAGTCTTCTCAGTTCATGTAATTGAAGAAAGATTCTTTAGTGCAGTGCTGTTTAGTGGGTCTCTGTATCAGTGCTGATTTAAGCTGTTACACCAGTCTGTGATAAAATAAGTACATACAGAAAATAAGAGTATATATTCAGAAACTTTTATAGTAAGTTGATAGTCATTTAAATCTATTAACATTAAAAAGTTAGGTTTGTGTTTTTCTAGTGACTTTGTATTTTACAAAGATATTAGTGTATATGAGACTGGTATTAAGAAATGTATTCTTCACCACAGATTATTTGAGAAACACTTCTCTGGTGTGATCTGAAATTTCTTTTTTTAAGATTTTATTTATTTATTTTTAGAGGAGAAGTAGGGGGAGAAAGAGGGAGAGAAACATCAGTGTGTGATTGTCTCTTGCACATACCCTACTGAGGACCTGGCCTGAAACCCAGGCATGTGTCCTGACTGGGAATCAAACCGGCAGCTCTTTGGTTTGCGGGCTGGCACTCAATCCACTGAACCACACTGAATCTGAAATTTCTTGATAGAGAATCTTACTCTTTCTGATTGCCCTTTCTAATTGTTCACAGATTCAACACATATGAACTGTATTTGTACTATTTAACTTTAAAGCTTTCTTTTTAAATTTCAGGTGTTGTAATAGAAAGGAAAATTAAACATCCTTTGCCTTTTTTAGAGTCTAGGAGGCAATACTTTTCTCTCCAGTATTTGGAATGTTTTGTTGTATGAAACTTACAGATTCGAGAAGAGGACAAGGATCCCGTCTACTTGTACTTTGAAAGTATGATGACTTGTGCCCGAGTTCGAGTATATGAACGAAAAAAGGAGGAACAGACACAGCTGTCACCATCCCCATCATTTCAGCAGCCTAGCTCATGTCATTCTAGTCCCAAGAACTATAGTGCAAAGGTGAATTACTTATTGCATAATTTTTCTTTTTAACTTCCAGTTTCCTCTTTCTGGTATTAAATTTTGCATTACTATCAGAATAATTTAGAGTAATTCTTGTGGGGCAGAGAAGGCTTACTTGATGTGTATATCAATGCACTTGTTTCTCTGTGTACCTATTCTAGAAAATAGTTTATCAGGGTTTTAAAAAGTATTACTCTTTTTAATGTTGGAGTAATTTTTTAAAGTTTAAACATTTCTAGTTTTAATTAATTTATTTATCTGTAGTTGTTAGGTTTTGCATCTTTTCACATTGGTGAAATTTCCAAATAACTGAAGCTTGGCCCATTAAACAGCCTATTTTTTCCTTCTTTACTAGAATATACTATAAAATACAATGTAATTTATTTTCTTAGTGACTCAGTCACTATGAAGAATATTACTGCAGAGCAAGTCTGCTTGTTTTTGTTAAGAGCTATAGAATATGATAGTGGTGCAGCAATGTAATAGAAGTGAAGCTGTTGCCAGTTAAATCTTTTTACTATGTCAGACTTTTTTAGAGATTTAATATTTATGTCTTAGTCTGTTGATACTAGATGTGTTGAATTGAAGTATTTCTGTGTTGTTCTTTTCTTCAGGAGCTTGATGCTGAACAGCAGCCCTTGAAACCAATTACTTGTGATCTGGAGGATGATCCTGATAAATCACAAGGTCAGTATGAAAGCTAGATCTTTTCAGTTCATAGTAATTATGTAGGTGTGGATTATAATAAATACGAGAGAAAACCAAAACTACCAACCCAGAATATGTTGACCTGTCCTGTTTCTAGCTTCTGCTAAAAATAAAGATGATAGATAAGTTTTTTCCTGTAATTTGGTTTATCTCCTGTTTTAAGAAATAAAATTCACTCATTGCTGTGGTATGTTGTCATAAGAGGCATTTAGGATGAGGTCAGTGATTTTCTTCATTTTTTAAAATTTTATTTTTCAATTGCAGTTTACATTTAATATTATTTTGTATATTTCAGGTGTACAGCATAGTGGTTAGACAATCATAGACTTTACAAAGTGTTTCTCCTGATATTTCTAGTACCCACCTGGCACCATACATAGATCTTACAATATTATTGACTGTATTCCCTATGCTGTACTTTATATCCTTGTGACTGTTTCATAACTACCAATTTATATTCTCTAATCCCTTCACTTTTTTTTTTACTTAACCCTCCAAGCCTTTTCCCTCTCTGCCATCAGTCTGTTTTTTGTATCTGAGTCCATTTCAATTTTTTGTTTATTTTGTTCTTTAAGAGTCCACATGTAAGTGAAATCATACGGTATTTGTCTTTCTCTGACTGACTTATTTCACTTTAGCATAATGCCTTTTAGGTCCGTCCATGCTGTTGGAAATGGTAAGGTTTCATTCTTTTTTAAAGCTGAGTAATATTCTATTGTAGATATGTATGTACCACAACCTTTTTATCCACTTGTCTGTGAATGGGCAACTGGGATACTTCCATGTCTTGGCTGTTGTAAATAACACTGTAGCGAGTATGTGGATGCACATACTTTTTTGAATTAGTGTTTTGGGTTTTTCAGATACAGACCCAGAGTGGAATTGCTGGGTCATAAGGCAGTTCCATTTTTAATATTTTGAGGAACCTCCATACTGTTTTCCACAGTGGCTGCATCAGTCTGTATTGCCACCAGCACATCCTTACCAACACTTGTTGTTTGTTGATATATTGATAATAACCATTCCGCCAGGTGTGAGGTGATATCTCATTGTGGTTTTACTTGCATTTCTATGACAATTAATGACATTGAGCCTTTTTTCATGTGTCTATTGGCCATCTGTATATCATTTTTGGAGAAGTGTCTGTTTAGGTCCTCCGCTCGTATTTTATTTTTTTATTTTATTTTTTTGGTATTGAGTCGTATGAGTTCCTTATATACAGGGTGGGACAAAAGTAGGTTTATTGTTGTGAGTACGTCGTGTTGTGAAACACAGAATTTATTCTTTTTTGTTTGTTTGTTTAAAGATTTTATTTATTCTCAGAGAGAGGGGAAGGGAGGGAGAGAGGGAGAGAAACATCGCTGTGTGGTTGCCTCTTGCATGCCCCCAACTGGGCACCCAACCCACAACCCAGGACGTGCCCTGACTGGGAATCAAATCAGTGGCCCTTTGGTTCACAGGTCGGCACTCAGTCCACTGAGCCACACCAGCCAGGGCTTATTCTTGAATTATTATTTATTTATTATTTTCCATACCAACAACTGTAAACCTGCTTTTGCCCCACTCTGTATTTTGGCTATTAACCCCTTATTGGATGTATCATTGGTGAATATCTTCTTTCAGTAAAAGGCAAAATATTTATATGATCTGAAGAGAAACCAGAGTATATTATCTTCTTTCATTCAGCAGGTTGTCTTTTTATTTTGTTGGTAGTTTACTTTGCTGTTCAAAAGTTTTTTAGCTTGATGTAGGCTTATTTATTTTTTCTTTTGCTTCCCTTGCCCAAGGAGATATGTCAGAAAAAAATAATATTAATGGAAATGTCAGGTTTTACTGTGTATGTTTTCTTCAAGGAATTTTATGGTTTAGAATCTTATATTTAAATCTTTAATACATTCTGAGTTTATTTTTGCATATGGCGTAAGAAGGTGGTCTAGTTTCATTTTTTTTCACCGTAACTGTTCAAATTTACCCAAACTGTTATTGAGTACACTGTCTTTACCTCATTGTATGTACTTGTCTCCTTTGTCAAATATTACTTGCTTGTATAGGCATGGTTTTATTTCTGGGCTTTCTATTTTCCTTTGATTCATGTGTCTGTTTAATGCCAGTACCATGCTATTTTGATTTCTCTAGATTTGTATAGTTTGATATCAGGTAGTATGATATTTCCAACTTTGTTCTTCCTCAAGATTACTGTGGTTCCATATAAATTTTTGGATAATTAGCTCTGGTTCTGTGAAAAATGCCATTGGTATTTTGATAGGAATTATGTTGAATCTATAGATTGCTTTGGGTAGTATGGACATTTTAATGATGGTAATTTTTTTATCCATGAACATAGTATATGCTCCATTTATCAGTATCTTCAATTTTTTCTTCAGTGTCTTATAATTGTCTGAGCATCGGTCTTTTACCTACTTGGTTACATTTATTCCTAGCTATCTTATTTATTTATAAATATTTTATTTACTTATTTTTAGAGGGGAAGGGAGGGAGAACGAGAGGGAGAGAAACATCAGTGTGTGGTTGCCTCTCGCACACTCCCATCTGAGGACCCAGCCCCTAATCAAGACATATGCCCTGACTGGGAATTGAACTGGCAACTCTGGTTCTCAGGCTGGCACTCTATCCACTGAGCCACACTAGCCAGGGCCTTTTTATTTTTTTTATTTTTTATTTTTTTAGGCATTTTTTCTTAGAAAAATGATTTTTCTAAGAAAAAACATGATTTTCTTAGTTTCCCTTTCTGATAGTTCATTATTGGTGTATAAAAATGCAACCGATTTCTGAATTTTTGGGGGGGTCCGTGTATCCTGCTATTTTACTTACCAGTTTATCAGTTCTGGTAGGTTTTTTTGGTGGAATCTGTATGGTTCCCTTTACACAGGATCATGTCATTTGCAAATAATGACAGTTTCACTTCTTCCTTTCCAATTTGGATGCCTTTTATTTCTTTTCCTTGTGTGATTGCTATGGCTAGGACTTCAACACTGTCGAATAAGAGTGGTAGAAATAGACATTCCTGTCTTGTTAGTGATTTTCTTTTTTAAACTACTTTTCAAACCTCAATCCACATTGGTATCATTAGCTGTTGAAATTTTCCCTCAGGTTCTCAGTAGCTGCTGTTGTTGGAAAAATGTAAAGGGAGAAAGGAAGGAATATCACTGATTTATCTAGCAGAGGCTACTGCCAAATTTGATGAGAGGTAATGTCTAGGGAGTTAACTATTTGTTTTTGGTTTTGTTTCCTAACACTTTAGACAGTTAAGCAGCAGTGGTTTCCAACTTTTAAAAAAAAATGGCATTATACACACAAAAAAGGTAAAAATGTTTTTATAGCACACTGAGGTAAACTGAGGACTCTGCTGGGCAGGATCTATATCCTGACATACCTGTAACTGTAGAACTTTGGTTGAGGGGCTCTGCTGTAAAAGTTTAGGTTCTAATGAAATGGACATCTAGTTAACGTGTTGCCATGAATATAAAACATGGTGAGTTGAGTGATTGTGCACACAGTGTGGAAGTGGAGCAATCATATCTAGATGTACAAAAGTAATTCAGAAGTAAAAATACAGAGTGATTCAAAAGTGTTTCCAGTAGAAATTAGAAGTACGGTGCAGTATTTAAAAAAACCAAAACACTATCTGTCTTGCTATTTTTTAGGATTGACTGCCTATCACATGTTACAGAACATCTGGCGAGTATCTTTGCTTTGCCTATATGGGTAGCAGAACACTAAACTACTGAGTAAGCTTTAACCTTGCTTTTATAGGTTATGCTTTGTTTGCAAGATAACACTTTCTCATGTAATATTTATGAATTTTTAGAGCAGTCTTAAGTGGAACTCCCTTTTTATTAGAAAGCCTAGGTTGCAGGTAGTGAGGACTATTATCATCTGATTCTCTTGAATCTTTCTTTTTCCTGGAAAACTCCCAAATTATGAGTGTTAAATGATTACTGAAAATATATGGGAATGGGACCCTGGGCAGCTGTCACATTTTTGTACGCCTGACATTTTTCTGAGATCTTAGGGAAAGTATTTCAAAGTTGAGTATAAAATGCTGTGATGCAGAAATATCTTTCAATTCTTTATCAGAAAAGAGCTGGAAGTCTTCCTGTAACGAAGGGGAATCCTCTTCTACCTCCTATGTGCATCAGAGGTCACCTGGTGGTCCCACCAAACTGATAGAAATCATCTCAGACTGCAACTGGGAGGAGGATAGGAACAAGATTTTGAGCATCTTATCTCAGCACATCAATAGCAACATGCCACAATCACTTAAGGTGGGCAGCTTCATCATTGAGTTGGCTTCTCAGCGAAAGAGCCGGGGTGAGAAGAACCCCCCTGTTTATTCTTCTCGTGTGAAAATCTCTATGCCATCATGTCAAGACCAAGATGATATGGCTGAGAAATCTGGATCAGAGACTCCTGATGGTCCATTATCCCCTGGGAAAATGGATGATATCTCTCCTGTGCAGACAGATGCCCTGGATTCAGTGAGGGAGAGATTACATGGAGGCAAAGGTCTGCCCTTTTATGCAGGGCTTTCTCCTGCAGGAAAGCTTGTGGCCTATAAACGTAAACCCAGTTCAAGCACATCTGGGCTTATCCAGGTGAGAATTATCTTTAATCTGGGTGCAGCAACTTTTTGTATTTAGGTAACATCTTTATTTTTCAGAGCCCTTTGTGGGCCTTATATCATTTATCTTCACATTTCCTGGGAACTGGGTAACAAAATCATTATCTCTTTTTGTAATAGGCCTAGGTTAGATTCATACCTAGACTGAAGTTTTAGCACATTTGTAAACAAATGTAGAGCCTAGTCTTCTCAGAAAATTGTTACTCTTAAACTTCATTATCTGGGCTCTAGTGATACTTTGTAAACCAAGTGAGGATAGTGAGGAGTTCAGGTTAGTTCTTGGGATTATTAGCAGAAAGCTTTCAAAATAAAACAAGGTGAAATTGATTTTAAAATAGGCAGTATATGTTTGGAAAATGGCAGAAAATTTTAATTTAGTAAGGTGTTACTCAAAAACATAAAATTTTAAAAAATGAGCCATAGTTTCTTAAGTATTTTTTCTTTACATGGTTTGTAGGGTTTTTGCCAGTATAATCATTGTTGTAGGACAAATATCTCTATCCTTACTGTTCAGTAATTCAGGCAGTAAAATTAACCTGGCATGTAGAAAATCCTTTGGAAAGAGAAGTTCTGAATTAAAATGTAATCATAATCAAAAAGGTTTTCTCCTCTTGCTCAGAGACATCAAATGTACTTTTATATCCACATAGCAAATGTGTGGATGTGTCAGACATTATTGCTGAGGTTACTTGACTTTATTAGCTTGATCACTGCTCTGGGCTAAGAACTATACCAATGATAATATGGACGATCTACTTAGCTAAAAATCTTTTTATTGCAGTTTATTTTTGGTGGTTTTATATAACTGCTTCTGTTGCTATTTCTTAAAGTCTTTAATGATGATGAGAACAGTGGTTTCTCTTTATTTATTAACTGATACTTTGAGAGCAGAGACTTATCTGAGATAATTTCTTGAGAGACTAGTCTCTCTGAAATACAGGCACAGAAATTTTGTGTTCTTTTCTCCTGTCTGGGACTCAGAGAACCACCATAAAATGTGAATTTGCATAAGCAGCCAGGGTACTCTGTAGTTTTGGGGAAGCTGCTGAGTAGTCTTCAGAGCAAGTCCCAAAGAAGCAGATTAGGGATATCTGATCTGGACACCACAGGGCCTGAAAAACTGTGAAGTTAAGTTTACTTCAAGATGGAATGATAGCATTTTTTATACCAAACAAGGGCAAAGACATTGCTGATCTGTCTGGGAATAAACACAATTTTACTTAAGTAGCAAAGAGTAATTAAGTTTGTGTCTTTGAAGAGAGAGTAGCTTGGCAGTAACGATTCTCCTCAACAGTTCTTTATTAATTTGGAGAATTTGAGCTTCTCCACCTCACTCTACGCCCTCTTCTTTTTAAGTGATGTAAAGGAGAAACAAAAAAGGAATGTCTTCTTTAGTCATCCAGCATTATGACTTAGAGAACATGGGCAAGAAACTTGGGAAGTTTTTGTTTCTTTTTTTTAAAGAAACTATTCTGCTGCCCAAAGTAGGCAGTCTGTAAACTCAGGCTGTAGAGAAAAATTCTTTACTTCCTTCATTGATTTTCTTTCAAGAATTTACAGTGAGTTTTTACTAGTGTTTATCTTGAGCCTGAGTTTTATCTAAGAGATGAAGAAAACACCTGCAAAGTTGAATTTTTAGAAACTGAAAATGGAGGTGACTTTGTAACTTAGCTTATTGTAGACTTACTGAATATTTCCAAGATGTGGAAGATAGTTTGAAAGGACCCTTGTGAAAGGGCTTTGTTGTTCCTCTCTGATCTCATCAGAGAAATTCTGGAGAACACAGTCATTCCCCCCCCCGCCCCCCCTGTGATTGTTAGTAACTTAACCAGAATTGCTTATTGACAAATAAAACAATTGGATGATTCCTTAGATTTGACGGTCTTTTACATTTCTAGGATGCAAATATGATGAATTTTTAAGATTCTCTGTTTCCAAATTACCAAAATGAAAGCTTAGGTCAGGATATCAGATGATGGCATTTTCTTTTCACCTCTTAAGTACTCAGATTATACTAAATGGGAAAAGTCCATTTTTTCCCCTTTAAATCTGAAAAATAGACTTTTAAAACCTTGTAAAAATGAAACCCCTGTCAAGGGAGATGAGTTAGCAAGAGAATTTTATCTTTACAGAATTTCTCTTTGCCACTTGTTTCAGGTTAATGGTAAGAGTTACCCGCAGGCTAAGTTGCTATTGGGACAGATGGGGGCATTGCATCCAGCCAATAGGCTAGCTGCTTATATCACAGGCAGGTTGCGACCCTCAGTCCTGGACCTCTCAACCCTCAGTACTGTCATCTCCAAGGTAGCATCCAATGCCAAGGTGGCTGCATCCAGGAAACCTCGTACCCTGTTGCCTTCAACATCCAATTCCAAAATGGCATCCTCCTCCGGCACTACAACAAATCGCCCTGGGAAGAATCTGAAGGCATTTGTCCCAGCAAAAAGACCAATTGGTAAGTTGGGGGAGAGAGAGAGAGATACATATGTTTTGGAAAGGCATGTGACTTGGTGCTGGGCCAGTGGATACGGTATGGAGGTTGTAAAAATAAGACAAAGAATTTGGCATTATTCTTACTCTCAATGTCTATCTTGCTCAAAAAAAATTTTTTTTTAAACTTTTTGGGAACTCTTCTGATCACCTGTAATATTAGATGAATTGAACTCGTTAGTTTAACAGTTATTTCCCAGACTTTTAGACTTTTAATGTAGAGAAGAATTAGATTTTAAATTTTTTTAATTTTAATTTTAAAAAGGGAAGATAATATTCTTAAATACTTTTCCTAATTTAATATGAGGACTGGTACCAATCATATATGTATCTGCCTTGAACTTAGGAAATCGTAGAGCAAGCAGAATCAAAGTGGGTTGAGTTAGTATAGGCTTAAAGTATAGGTGGCTCTTGTAAAGCATGATTTTGGAAACATTGCTTTATTCTATTCATCCCTGTTCTGTGAATGAAAAACCTATTTTGCTTAACATTTTAGTGCTAGAGCCTATAATAAGTTACTTTCTTGAAAGCATTTGTGTTTTAGCATTGAGAGGATATATGGTTGGTTTATTGAATTTCTCTTTGTGGTGTTTTAAATCTTCTGGAATGTTAAGTTAAATTGTCAATTACTGTATTTTTTCCTCTAATAGAAAATTGAAGTCTCTGGCTGAATGCTGGAGTTGTGTGAAGATGGAGCGATAGGCATTGTTTGCCTTAAAAAGAACCCATTTTACCTCTTTTTTTAGAAGTAGTGGTAACGAACTATAGAAATGATCCCTGAAAGTATAGTCTTTAAAATTAGTGGTGATTTTAAAAATAAACAGTCTTATTCTGCCCTCTCACGAAAAATGTCTTCATACAGTTTAGAAATACATAAAACTTAACTGTCTCATAAGAAGACTGCAATAAAGAGGTGTAGAGGTGCTGGGACAGGTAGAGGAAGTGGTAGAAATAAGTTTTAAAATTAGGGGGGAAAAATCTCATTACTTTATCTGTTAGAAGTTGTGTGCTGCTTTATTGTCTTTTTAGTGTCCTGGCAATTTGGCTCTATTGTGTAGATAAAGATTTTTAGTAGGGATACTCAATTTTAATCCCGTTCTTGTTAAAATATGAAGTTTGGTGTGAGTTGAGGGAAGTGTTGGTTTCTGTATATGGAAATTGACACGTATGATGCAGGTAGGTAGTACCAGTTAGTACCTGTAAGAAATTGATCCAGTGGTGCACACAATAAATGTTGGTTAACACAATCACTAAGAGGATAAGATATGAGAACTGAAGATTTTTGACCTGCAAATTTTTATTTGCAGCGGCTCGACCCTCTCCTGGTGGTGTGTTCACACAGTTTGTGATGAGTAAAGTTGGAGCCCTGCAGCAGAAGATACCTGGAGTTAGCACACCCCAACCCCTAACAGGGCCACAGAAGTTCAGTATCAGACCTTCTCCAGTAATGGTCGTCACACCTGTGGTTTCTTCTGAGGCAGTCCAGGTGTGCAGCCCTGTGACTGCTGCTGTCACTACTACCACCCCTCAAGTATTTTTAGAGAATGTTACTGCTGTGACACCTATGACTGCTATTTCTGACATGGGAACTAAAGAAACTACTTATCCTTCTGGTGCCACCACTGCAGGGGTTGTTGAGGTCTCTGAAACTAATACCAGCACCCCTGTAACATCTCCCCAGTCTACAGCCACTGTGAACCTTATCAAAACGACTGGGATAACTACCCCTGTGGCTTCAGTTACTTTTCCTAAGTCTTTGGTAACATCTCCTCCAACCATAACTCTTCCTGTTGCTTCCACTGCCTCCACCTCCATAGTCGTGGTGACCACAGCTGCATCTTCCTCCATGGTGACCACACCAACTTCATCTCTTGGCTCTGTTCCCATTATACTCTCAGGAATTGATGGGAGTCCACCAGTGAGCCAGAGACCAGGTAAGGCCTAGATGTTACTAGCTGGTTTACTATACAGCTGTTTATATAACTTTATGGTTGTGATAGGACTATAGATATATCAGGGTAACAATGTAGGTGTAGGTGTTTCTGCTATAACATGATACATGTATTCCTGAAAATCTTTGCATTCTGCAAAACAACACTAAAAACAATAGAGCTCATGGTTAATACAGGGTTAGGACAAATCACTGAAAAATGTATACAACTTTGTTACTAGAGCAATATTAAAAACCATAAATGGTATATTGGAAATAAATTGAACAGCTTTGACAGATGGTTTAGTGGGGCTGGAGATTACTTCAAGATAATAAAAATACTCAGAAACATAAGAATGGAAATGGTAGCTGAAGGGTACAGAAATAATTCATATGAGAGTGGAGCTGTGAGCCAGGAGAGCAGCTATTAAGATGGACACAGGGAGAAGTGCAGTGTGTTGTGTACTGAGAGCTAGGGATGCGCATCTCTGAGAAGAGCACCCACATGTAGGGACACTCCATTTTTGGGGGTGGGTTGGTGCATATTTTTCATTAAAAAAAGATTGCAGGCTTCTGCTCATGCTGCAGTCAAGCTGAAGGTACCTTGTTGTCTTTGCTGAAGGTTAAATTTCTAGGTCCCCTTGCCTAGTAAATAATCACTTGTGAATCAGTCCAACTCCCGTATATTATTGATGTTGTTCTACTTAAGTATTATACATGAACTAATAGAAATAGAAATAGGGAGGCATATTTCTTTGCTTAGGACTCTAATATTTTATGTTTATCAACTTTGTAGTTAAAAAAGCTTCCTTGTTGGCTGAGGTTAAGTGAATTTGAAATAGGAATATTTTAGACTTTGGTAATTCTCTATTTTAATTTAACCAACTAAAGAAAGTAGTTTTCTCAGTGTACTCAGAGAGGAATTACTGTGGAAAGAGAGAGACTTTGTGGGCTTTAAGGGGAAATAAATAGCCAACAGCAGTTCTTTCTTGGTTATTGATACTTATACTACTAAGTACTTTTGCCTTTAGTGACATGGTCCAAATCCCTGTTGATATTTTAGGAAAGAAGTGACTTGGGAGTTAGTTTATAAGTTGAAGTTCTGTTGAAAGGAAAAGGAATCACAATATTAAATGTGTTTGTATTCTACTTCTCCCCCTAATGAGCGCATAAAAATGGTTAGTTTAGTATATCACTTTGGAAATGAGATTGTTGATGAAGCTGCTTTTTTGATTTACTATTGAATCTCAAGATTTACTCTATTTTCCCATGTATATGCGCTCTTGTGCATAATGTGTGCCCATGTTTGCTGCTCATTATACACAGGACTATTATATCCATGGCATGTAATCATCATACCTATGTATAATGCACACCCTTACTTTTCTCTCAAAATTTTGGGCAAAAAGTGGGCATTATACATGGCATAATATGGGCGTATGTTTTCTAAACCATAGTGATTCTAACCTTTCTTTATATTTTTAGTTCTGTCATGAAATTATAGTCATTGAGCTTTTTGTAATTCATTGTTTTTCTAATTTTAGTTACTCATACATTCATGTATGTTGCTGTCATTCCTATTTGTACTATATTGACTTAATTTTTTTATTTAAATCAACTAATTTGTTTACTTAAGTTTATTTTTAAAAGGAGCAATCTTACTGTAATTGGAAACCAACATTCCTTGCTAAAATAGAGGTTAACCCTATAAATAAATGCACTGGAAACAAATTCTAGCCAGCTACTATAATGTGTTTTTAGCATGTGGTCTTCTCTCTGTTCATGTAGAAAGCTAGAAAATGCTGGCATAATGTTAAAGACATAGCATCAGAGTCTGGTACTTTTGTATAAAATCAAAAGATTAAGTTTGAAAAGGAAATTACTTTTCGACAATGTGATGTTATTTTATATTCATACACCACCTAAAACCTATCATCTTCTCTAATACCACTTGAGTAAATACTAATGTTAACAGATTTTCTAATCTGCTTATTTACAAATGTAGCTAACTCAGATAACTGTTACGTCTAAGGAAGTGTGTAATTTTGTTCTAGGTTCACAGAGAGTCTAAACTCAGGCATTTAGATAGGTGTGCTTTTTCATTTACCTTCCCTTCTTTTTTCTCTTTCTCCTTCCACATTTCAATAAACAATGCTGTTAACATGTGTATTAAAGGCTGCTTTTAGTCTCGGAGTAATTTAATTTCAAATCACTTTCTAAAACTAAATAGAAATGTTAAGGAAATTAATGCTTTATCATGTTTTTTAATTCACATAAAATAGGTGAATTTTTTTTTTTGTACGCTATTTTTTCATAAACATTTTGGTGGTTGTGTTTTATTTCATTTTCAAGAGAAGTCATGGATCCTCTATATATACTTTGTGATGTAAATGTTAAGAAAATGACTTTCTTTCTTCATCTCTTTCTCTTTCTTTTTTAAAATTTATTTTTGGAGAGAGGAAGGGAAGGAGAAAGAGAAGGAGAGAAACATCAGTGTGTGGTTGCCCCTCCCATGCCCCCAACTGGGGACCTGACCCTCAACCCAGGCATGTACCCTGACTGGGAATCACACCGGTGACCCTTTGGTTCACAGGCCCATGCTCAATCCACTGTGCTACACCAACCAGGGCAGGAACATGACTTTCTTTTAGAAATTCGGTATGTTTCATGGGCAGAGTGGTTATCAGATAGAGTATTATATCTTAAACTAAATCTTTATGTTGTTTGGTTTGTTGATTTTTCTATTATTTAATGACAAAGTAATGAAAAGATTTATTAATAATGTTAGATAATTCCACTATCTGAATGGTAATGTTAGGCCAGTTTCATTCATGCTTATTATTATTATTATTCCTACCTCTTTATCTCCATGGCCAAAAATCTATCTGTAGATTATTTACATATTTTTTTCCATGTCTTTAGTATTTCTGAAATCTCTTCCAAGCATTAAAGTGCATCTTTAGGTACTATTAAGGTTTTAAATCTCTTAATTCACATCTTCTGGATTAAGTTTTTGCTTTTTCTGTTTGTTTTAAAACTATCTTTTGCCTCTTCCTAACCAGGCTTTATTTCCCTGCTACTTTGATGTCTCTTAATTTCATTCCATTTTGGGGGGGTATGTATTTTTTTCTTTATGAAAAATAATTTTCACAAATCTTTACACTTTTCTTATTTGACAGTGAATTTTAAAAGCCAAGAAATTTTTTATACTTCATGATTTTTAGTCCTTGGCTTTATCTTATTTGAATATGACGTGTGAAACTAAGTCATAAATCCAGTAAGTGTTAACAGCCTGAATTTTAAAGTTGAAGAGAATTTTATCATGAATGATCTCTTTAGCTTTAATGACAATCCAGATTTAGAGGCCTACTCATGTTTTACATTAGGTAGCATTATCTTTTTAAATGCACCTCCTGACAATTGATGCTTTCTTTTTTTTAATCAGCCTAAATGTAAGGCTCTGTAATGTCTGGTTAATATTTAGGTTTAAGATAAATTGTTGTCAACCAAAGGACTATTAAATAGTGTGTCCAAGATGTATAGGATTTCACCAATTTTATATTCAAATCAGAAGTTATTTGTAGCATGGTCAGATCCTATGTCATAATTTTTTTCCTACACGTATTAAAAGGAAATTCTGATAATATGTTTCTATTTCCTGTTTTTCAGAAAATGCCCCTCAGATTCCAGTTGCTACTCCGCAGGTTTCTCCTAACCCAGTGAAACGTGCCGGACCTCGATTATTGTTGATTCCAGTGCATCAGGGTTCCCCTACTCTTAGACCTGTCTCAAACACACAACTTCCAGGACATCGGATGGTTTTGCAGCCTATTAGGAGCCCAAGTGGAATGAACCTTTTCAGGCACCCTAATGGGCAGATTGTCCAGCTCCTCCCTTTACATCAGCTTCGAAGCTCTAATACCCAGCCCAACTTACAGCCTGTCATGTTTCGGAACCCAGGTATAAAATTGGAGATCATTTTATGAGTTTTTCTTCTGTTGAGTTATTTGGCCATATGATATGTTAATACACCAGGTTTGGTCCTCTTAGTCTTTTAAAGTCACATGTCCAAAAAAGGAAAGCATAACTTGGAAGTCTTGATATGGGCAATGGTGATTTAAAGTTTTCTTTTTCTTACCAGGGTCTGTGATGGGAATCCGGTTACCCACTCCTTCCAAGCCTTCAGAGACTCCACCATCTACTGCTTCATCCTCTACTTACTCTGTTATGAGTCCTGTAATTCAGGCTGTTGGGTCTTCTCCAGCAGTGAATGTTATCACTCAGGCACCACCATTGCTTTCTTCTGGACCTAGCTTTGTGTCTCAGTCTGGTACATTGACCCTGAGGATTTCCCCTCCTGAACCAAGCTTTGCAAGTAAAACAGGCTCTGAAACCAAAATAACTTACAGCTCAGGAGGGCAGCCTGTTGGTACAGCCAGCCTCATTCCTCTCCAGTCTGGTAGTTTTGCCTTGTTGCAGCTTCCAGGACAAAAGCCTGTTCCCAGCTCCATTCTTCAACATGTAGCTTCTCTTCAGATGAAGAGAGAGTCCCAAAATGCAGACCAGAAAGATGGAACAAGCTTTTTAAAAAGAGAACAGGAAACTAAGAAGTCTCTGCAGTCAGAAGGAGAAGCTATAGACTCTGAGGCTAATGTAATAAAGCAAAACTCAGGAACAACTGCCTCAGAAGAAACCCTGAATGATTCCTTGGAAGATGGGGGTGATCATTTAGATGAAGAATCTCTTGCAGAAGAAGGTCCTGTTAAGCCTTCTGAGCACTCCTGTATCACTGGGTCACATACAAGTGAAGACTATAAAGATGTCAGTGAAGATGGGATTGGGAATCATAACAGTTCCAAAGAAAAACTGACTCTTCTAGATGTTAAGACCATTTCTGAAAGAGCCTGTAATATGACAGTCCAAAGTATAAGTAATGTGCAGCCCAAAAAACTTGGTAATGTGAAAGTGGAACAGCACAGTTTAGAGGAAAAATCAAATACATTTCCAACCATCTCTAAGGAAGACTGTAAACTTGAATTATCAGGGAGTATAGTTGTGGAGGAGCATCAGTGTAATCCACAGCCAGAGGCCAAGGAGAAGGGACATGGAGACTCTCTAATGGACAGTCTTAGGGAGAGATGGAGAAAACACCTGAAGGGCCCTTTGACCCAAAAATGTGTTGGAACTTCACAAGAGTGCAAGAAAGAGGCAGATGAACAGTTAATTAAAGAAAGAAAGAATTGTCGGGAAAATTCAGATGTGTTTCAACAAGAACAACACATCTCTGATTTACTTGGAAAGAGTGGAACTACTGAGAATACCAGAGTTTTAAAAACTGAATGTGATTCTTGGAGTAGGATTTCTAGTTCTGCAGCCTTCTCCATTGTTCCTAGGAGAGCTACAAAAGGGAGCAGAGGGGAAGGACATTTTCAAGGTCACTTACTGCTATCAAGAGAACAGATAGAACCAAAGCAAGAGAAGAAGGGTGGGAGAAGCAGTGCTGACTTCAGTGTTTTGGATTTGGAAGACGACGACGACGAAGATGAGAATGAGAAAACCGATGATTCTATTGATGAGATTGTGGATGTTGTTTCTGACTACCAGAGTGAGGAGGTTGATGATGTAGAAAAGGTGGTGAGCCCATTTTTGTTGTGACTGAAACCTCAAGGATTTAAATGATTTATTAGAGACAGTAGCTTTTCAGAAGATCACTAAGACCTTTATACATTCAATTGGATGCCTAGATTTAGATCATGACTAAATGACTGTAGTTTTAGGCTGTGTCAGTCAGGTAACATTTATTGAGCTTATATTGTTCTTTGAGACTTGTCTGATATTTTGGAAAGGTTGACGTAAGCTTTTGGGGAATAGATATTTTAGATTCCCTATCAAGTTAGGTTTAAAAAAAAGATCCTGAAACCACTGCTCCCATTTGATTCCAATTAGTTTTTTAAAAAATTTTCTGTATAAAGTGATTCTAGCTTACCTGGTAGATGTAGAAGAAACAGGGAATGGGTGTCCTTAGAACTGGGGGAGAATTTACCTACCTCAATTTAGAGAGATGTTCTTTTTGGAGAATGGAAAATACCATTTAATATTTTAATATGATCGTGCCTTAAGTTGCTCTTTAATTATCTCCTAAAATTAAATACTTTTTTAGAATTTATATCCTGAACTTTGGTTGTCTTCCTTTGAAATATGATGTTTATAATTTATTTTTCTGAAGTAATTTTTGTAGGCTTCCTATATAGGGTTGTATTTACTCAACTAAGTAACTGAGAGTCAGGTATGCTATAGAGCAGGAGTTGGGCAAACTTTTTTTTTTATAAAGGGCCAGATTATAAATATTTTAGACTTATAGGCTAGATGGCTTGCTGTTGGAACTACTCAATAGCTGTTGTGTCATGAAAGCAATTATAAACAGCAATAAGTGAATAAGTGTAGTAGCTGTATTCCAGTAAAACTTTATTTACCAAAACAGGTGGTGCGCTGTTGTTTGCTGACCCCTGATAGGGGTTCTGGTGTAAATTGTAAGGAGTAAATTGTATACTTTGCTGGTGGTGGAATACCCTAAAATCTCAATGGAGTCCCTTTCTTCAGGACCAGATAACATGGGCCTCTGTACTCATTGTCATGCAGTGGGCTGTTACAGAATCTCACTTCTTAATTTCATTCAGACTTTGTGTTACCTGGTCCTTCTGTGTTAACACTTAACCACCTTATACAGATAAAACATAACAAAAAGACTAGTATTTTAAAACTAATATGTTTTAAGTATTTTAATGTTTTTGTGTTGGTTATTTCTGTAACCTCAGTTGTCTCATTTATAAAATGAGTATTTAGCTCTAAAATTGGATGATTCTATAGCATATGCCTTACATTCTAACTCTAGCCTAGTCTTTTTTGAGGACAGACATATGTACGTAGCTGAAGAATCTGAATTCACTGAGTTTGGGAGTTAGATTGCATATCTTGTGCTTTTTGCAGTCTCCCATTGTAAATCAGCCTGGGTAAGCATAAGAAAAACAGTCCAACTTTAAAACCAGTGAAACTGTTGCTATCGTAAAACTGACTTAATAGAACCATTAGAGTATTTTAATTATACAGGGTGGCATTGCTTAAATTTCCTAAAAGGGAATCTGACATACGGGGTACACTGACCTTTTTAAAAATAAGAACATTATATTAAAAGAGTTCTAAAATCTAAATTCTACATCTACATTTAATGGTATTTATGTATGTTTATACACCTGCGATATCTTCATGCTTGTGATTAGCATTATGTTGGAATAGTGTAAGGAAAGTTGTGAATAACCTCTTTAATTTAAACCTTCCATTGTGAAGCTTATTCGATATTATTTACAAAGCCTGAGGTTAAAGCTATGAAGTAGGCAGACATTCTTCAGTTTAAATATTATAAAGCTTCTGCCTACGTTACTATGCAAACTTTTTAGATTCTGTTGGGACTCTGTTGATTTAGCTTCCTAGAGTTGTGTTTTTTTTTAATTAATTTTAATATATGTTATTTTACATCATCTAAGTTTAATATACATTGTTTAAATTTTGCTTAAATTGGGGGACATAAATGATGGCTTTTATTTAGTGTCTAACAGCCTCATAAGGTCTATAATTTGAGGGTAAGTAATGTTTACAAATTTAAATATAGAATTATTAAGGTGATTGGGATGCTTTATTTTGAGTTGTGCCTCTCTGGTACAGTATGATTATAGATAACATTTTCCCTGTTTAGTTTCTGGCATAGTACACACTACTTTTAAAGGTGGACCTGAAAAATATCTGCATACATCGTAATCTGTATATTCTGTTATATAAAATGCACAGTAAGTTTCTGTGACAGGTGCTCAATAAATGCTTACTGATTGACTTATTTTTTGGTATAATTAGCAAGTAGTGCAAGCCTGGGCTGCTTTGTTATCTGAAATGCTTCAAAAGCTTTCATTCTGTGACTTAAAAGACTGGTCTATATTTTATTTTTATATCTGCCTTAAATATATTTTTGTGGGTGTCTCATATGGGGTTAGCTATGAAGCACTCTTTTTTTAAAGACATATTTATTTTTAGAGAGGGGGAAGGCAGGGAGAAAGAGCGGGAGAGAGACATCGGTGTGTGTCTGCTTGTCATGCTCCCCCAACTGGGGACTGGCCTGCAACCCAGGCAGGTGCCCTAACTGGGAATTGAACCGGCAACTCTTTGGTTCGCAGGCCAGCACTCAGTCCACTGAGCCACACCAGCCAGGGCTGAAGCATTCTTTTTAAAAAAAAAATTTTTCAGTTATATTTTACATTTAATTTTATTTTGTATTAGTTTCAGGAGTACAATATAGAGCTTAGACAGTCATATATCTTACAAAGTGTTTTCCCCAATAACCACTGGGCTCCATATATGGACAATACAAGATTACTGACTATATTCCCTATGCTGTACTTTATATCTGTGTGACTATTTTAGCTACCAATTTGTACTTCTGAATTTCTGTACCCTTTTCACTTGGTCCCCCAACCCATCCCCCTTTTTGGCAATCATCAGTCTGTTTTCTGTACCTATGAGTCTGTCATGAAGCACTCTTAAACTAGAACAAGAATTTTTCTTTTTTCTACTTTTTCCCTTGCCAAATTTTATTTTACTGTATTTAATCTTAAGGTTTATGCATCTTTAATATATCCGTACATGAATTTTGTCCACTAGAAATAACACTGTTGCATCAATATAGACTTTTGGGGGACTATTCAGTCTAATGATGTCTGTTTAACATATATCAGTGATTAATAATTTAGCTCTTGGTTGTTTGCTCTGTCCAAATGTTTTATGAGTTAATTACTTTTTATGTTTAATTAACAAATTTAGGTTTATCAGTACTCATGGTAAAGATCAGTGCTTGGCACTAGTTGGTTTTTTTATAAGGGGAGCACTCAGTAGAATAGTTTAGGTGTGCTTGCTTCCCAATACTTTATTTATTGTTGGAATGCTATATTTCAGAATAACTGTGTAGAATTCATTGAGGATGATGAGGAGCAAGTGGACATTGAGACTGTGGAAGAACTCTCTGAGGAAATTAAAGTTGACCACATGAAGACCACAGCTGCCCACACACAGACTTTTAAACAGACGTAAGTTTTATTTCTTTTTGGATTATTGTTTTTTGATCATAAACAAAATTGTTCTGTTCAGGTCTGGTTAACTGACCTGGTCCCTTTATTCCTCTAGCTTTTTTCCTGATTAGTAGATGAGGAGAGGAGCTAGAATTCAGAGGTAATTAACTTGCCTTGGTTATTGCTAGGAAACTGTGTAAAGGTGAATAACATATGCTTTTTGGAGCCTACACATTGGTATTAATCTACTAGTGCTAGTTTGTAGCTGTTTAAGCCGTTAATATCTCTGAATCTTAGATTCCTTACCTTTAAAGTGAGGAAAATGCCCCCATTTGAAGTGTTAAATGAGGTAATATATGCAACTAACATAACTGATACAGTGGACTACTCAGTAAAGGGTAGTTTCTTTGTCTTTTAAGAATAAGACAGTAAATTCTAGATTTGGTTCCTTACTAGGTGAACAGGTATAGTTAGGAAAATTTTCCTACCTGTTAAGCTGATGAGGTGAAAATATAGAGGACATGATGACTTGATCCAAAAAATTTATTTAATTTTTTTGTTTTAGTGAGCCATGTGTTAGAGATTGGGGTATGGGAGAAAGAAGGGAAAGATTATATGAGTTCTTACTTTGTGCCAGACATTGTGCTTTTCCTGTTAACTCATTAACCACCATATAAAGTAGCAATGAGTTGAGAAAAGTAATTTTTTTAAAAATTCAATTTATTGTGGTGACACTAGTTAACAAAATTATACAGGTTTCAGGTGCACAATTCCAGGACACATTGTACACTGTATTGTGTTCATTACCCCAAGTCAAGTCTTCTTTCATCACCATTTATCCCCCACTATACCCTCCACTACCTTCTCCCATACTCCCTCCCCACAGCAGTCACCACTCTGTGTCTGTGTTCCTGTGTCTTTTTCTCTCTTTTAAAAAAAATTTTTGCTTAATCTCTGCACTCCTCAACCCCCAACAGATACCAGTCTGCTCTCTATCCATGAGCCTGTCTTTGTTATGCTTGTTAGTTCATTTTGTTCATTAGATTCCACATACGAATGAATTCATATGGTACTTTTCTTTCTCTGTTTATTTCACTTAGCATAATGCTCTTTGGGTCCATCCGTGCTGTTGGAAAGAGAAAGTAATTCTTCATCATTAGTGATGTTGAGAATGTCTAAGGAGGGGGAAGTAGTCCTAATAGTTTTTTTCACTCTAGAGCTGTTTGGAGGCTACTTCAGTTGCCAGGTGGTTTAGGTTGAAAGGGTTTAAATCTCTTAAAAGCTTAATTCAACTTAAGTTCAGTAGTACTGGGCTAGTATTGGCTGTATATAAATTCAGCATACTAAAATTGAGTTCCTAAAGATTAGCAACAAATAAAAAATGTAATCTAAACACTACCATTTACAATAGCAACAAAAAAACCTGGAACTGTCAACAAAAGTTTTTCAGGACTTTTATAAAGTTATATTGAAAGACGTTGAAGAAGAATTCATTAGATGGAGGCATACCATCTTCATAAATTGAAATAATAAAGAGCCAAGAATAACACACGTATAGCCACACAGGACAAACTGTTGTAAAGGAACAACTTTTAAGAATTTAACAAGTTTTTTCTGTCAGAACACCATGAAAACAGTGAGAAGGCAAACTCAGACTATAAGGAAGAGATTCGCAGTAGCATTTGACACTATTAGTTTAGCTCAGTTGATTTAGAGCCTTGTTCTGATACACCAAGGTTGTGGGTTAAATCCTGATCAGGGCACATGTAAGAATCAACCAATGAACGTATAAGTGGAACAACAAATCGATGTTTTGCTCTCTCTCTGTCTCTCTCTCTCTCTCCTCCCCCTCCCCCTGCTTCCCCCTCCCCCCCCCGCCCCCCGCTAAAATCAGTTTAAAAAATGTTTACCCTGGCTGGTATGGCTAAGTGGATTGAGTGCTGGCCTGCAAACCCAAGGGTCGCTGGTTTGATTCCCAGTCAGAGCACATGACTGGGTTGCTGGCCAGGTCCCTAGTTGGGGGTGTATGAGAGGCAACCCCACATTGATGTTTCTCTCCTTCCCTTCCTCTCTGTCTAAAAATAAATATTTTAAAAAAATGTTTGACAAATGACTAGTATCAAGGATATAAAATAACTGTTACAAGTTGGTAAGAAAAAATGATTCAGTTGGAAAAGGAAGTAATGGGTATCTCAGGCAATTCACACAAGAGACAACTGGATGGCCAGTAAACAATGAAAATTTGTTAAACCTCACAAATAATTAGGGAAATGTAAATTAAACCACAATGACTTTTGCTTCACACCTATAAGATTGGCAAAATGGAAATTTCTGATAATACTATTATTTAGTTGTGTAGCAATGGGAACCTACTACAGGTGGGGGTGTAAATTGTAACCACTTAGTAGAGAAGTGTGACATTACTAAAGCTGAAGATGTGCATGCCTTCAACCCATTAATTCCACTCCCAGGTATATGCCTTAAAAACACACACGTATGTACAAAGGGTTATATATGGGATGTATGGAATGTGTGCAATGTATCCATTGCAACATTGTGAAAATTTGGAAACAACCTAAAGGACTACTAACATTCTGAAAAAACAAACTTTGGAAAATTCACACTTTGAGATACTATATAGCAGTTAAAATGATTGAGCTGGAACTATATGTATTAACATGTCTCAGATGTAATAATGTTGAGTGAAACAGATCAGTTGAAGAAAGATACACTTAATATATAAAATGTTTAAAGTACCACATAGTATTTTCTGTTTAGGGATACATTCTGCATACCTAGTAAAACTATAAATATTTGCATGGTAAACTCAGTTGGGGAATGTTTACCTGTGAGAGAGAAGGAAGGAAACGTGATTGAACAGGCTGCACGTAGGATCTCTAACAGATTTTATTTCTCAAGCTGGGTGGTAGCTGCCTGGGTATGTTTGTTTCTGTAGGGTTGTATGTCTGAAATATTGTATGTTGTGATTGAAAAAGTAATTAGTTTTAGGGATGATTTGGACAGTGTTTCTAAGAGGAAAGAATAAAGTATATTGCCACATATCTGACCTTGTAGAAAAGAAGCTGGTAACACTTCAGAGAATTTGGGATGGTTTGGTTTAATATTGCTATGAAAGTAGGTCTTAGGTTATTGAATTTCACTAAGTCATTGAAAAAAACTGTCTTTACCTAGATGCCGTACCCATATGTCTGCAGATGAAAAAGCTGCTGAAAGGAGTCGAAAGGTATTTATAATACATTTAATGATAATTACTCATTTAATAAAACGTGTAACACTTGTTTTTAGGGTTAAAACAACATAAGCTATATTAGACATATTCAGAGTTAGTCTTACCAGTGAGTTAATATATAAACCTTTTTAAAACCCTTAACGAGCCCTGGCTGGTGTGGCTCAGTGGATTAAGCACTTGGCCTGCAAACTGTAGGGTTTAATTCCCAGTTATGGCACACGCCTGGGTTGCGGGCCAGGTCCCCAGTTGGGGATGCACAAGAAGCAACCACACATTGATGTTTCTCCCCTCTCTTTCTCCCTCCCTTCCCCTCTCTCTGAAAATAAATAAATCTTTAAAAAAAACCCTCTTAATGAAATTATATTGTTAATTTTTTTCCTCTCTTAATTCTCTATTACACCTAGGTGATAGAATAATTTAGAAAAATTAAAACGGGTATGGGGCACTGACTAGTGTGGCTCATTTGGGTGTCATTCTGCAAAGTGAAAGGTTTCTGGTTTGATTCCTAGTCAAGGCACATGCCTCCGCTGTGGGCTTGGTCCCCAGTTGCTATGGGGTTAGGGCGCATATAGAAGGCTAACTAACTAATCGATGTGTCTCTCTCACATTGATGTTTCTCACTCTCTCTTTCACCTCCTTTCTCCTCTCTCTAAAAATAAATACATAAAATCTTTTTAAAAATGGGTATGGAATTTATGAAAATCAGTGTGCTTACCAATTTTCATAAATTCCATGTCCACTTTAATTATATAATGTTATTGTTGCTATTTTGTCTTCTTAATTTAAGAGATAAAGATAATAATGGGGATTGGATTGAGTTCAAGTGTGCTAGTCAGTCCTTTCAAAGACCACTTGGTATGATTAGTTCAAGTTTTAATTTATTTTTGGGATCACGTGAGACATAATTACATGCTTGTAATCATTTTGTACATATTATATATATTTTTATCCTGAAACATTTTTTATATATGTTTCATAATAGCTTATTTATATAATCCATTTTTTATACCCTAATTATTACATGTAAATTATTTGTAGTGTTTTGCTCTATTTAAACTTGGCATTCATTTTCTTGTATTTTTTATTCTCTCATACTAATGCTCAGTGAATTTAACTTCAGAAGAACAGTGATTTTATATAAGTTTTGGGGTACTAGCAGGGTTATGATAAAGACAAACTGTCAGATAAAAAGGAAGGCAACTAGAAGCATTAGGGAAAAACACAAAATCAAGAAACTGTAGAAGACAGGAAATATAATTATCCTTAATTATTGCTTTGTATGAACAGTATTCACATTGTCATAATAGGGTAGCCACTCTTAGTGATTTTGTAAAATTTGTATAATCTGTGAATAAAGTGTGAAAGACAATTTCAGTCTTGTAAAATGTTGAAGTACAAATGACAAATTGGGAGATAAGAGGGAAGAAAAAATAACAGGAAGGATAGCGAGTGGTAATACGCTCATTTTACAAAGAGGTACTGTTTGTTGGTGAAGTGAGAGATTGATGCAAAGGGATCAATAGAAGAACTAAAATTAATGATGTATCTATATTAGGAAGATGGGATAGTAAAATGAGGTAAGAGTGGTATGCGCTAAACCCTCCTCTGCATAGCAGGAAGTAAATAGATAGCCTTGAAAGTTGAAAAGCATGAGCTTAAATTACTATTTTTTAATTTAGGTATAAATTTCAGAACCAGAGAAGGCAGCTAAAAGCATCAAATGGTTGTTTCTGTGGGTCCATGTACAGGTGCAGGGCACAGTTTCTTTTCATTATAAGCCTTTAAAATATTTATATTTAAAAGTTTATGTACATCCATTACTTCTTTATAGTAAATAATTTATAAAACTGAAATGGAATAAATAAAGGAAAAAGGAAGCTTAAGTAAGGCATCCTGAGGGTCAAGAAAGAATTTTCTGAAAAATGAGAAGTTTGAGTTTTAAATGTTAAGAATTTACACTATTGAAGTTAGGTTTGGAGGAAGTATAGATTGGTAGGGTAGTCAAAATGACAAATTGAGAGGCTGTTATGATAGTCCAGGCAGAAAATGGTGGGTGTCTGATACAGAGCAGTGCCATCTGGGATAGAGGAAGAGGGAAGATAAATGTGAAAGATATTTAGGTGGTAATCTTTTGTTTGGATAGGCTTCACCAGTGCCTCTAAAACTGAAGCCTGATTACTGGAGTGAAAAATTACAGAAAGAAGCAGAAGCTTTTGCTTATTATCGCCGCACACACACTGCCAATGAGCGGCGCCGGCGTGGTGAGATGAGGGATCTCTTTGAGAAATTGAAGATCACATTGGGGTTACTTCATTCTTCCAAAGTTTCCAAAAGTCTCATTCTTACTAGGGTAAGTGTTCTATGTAAGTGACAAGAGCTTGACTGAGAGAATCTTCTAGAGATACTAGAAGAGAAAATATTACCATATGAGGGAGATTGAAATACAGTGGTATTTAATATTTGAATATGGACTAGTGAAAGCCCAATACATCCTTTAGGGGGGGAAGTTCTTACGTTGAATCAGAGTAGCTTTTCAATAAAAGTCAGATTCTTAATTGGCAGAGCTATCCTTACTTCAGATAAAGTCAGGCCCTGACTGGTGTGGCTCAGTTGGGTGTTGTTGGGCGTTATCTTGCAAAGTGGAAGGTCACTGGTTCAGTTTGTGGTCAAGGCACATGCCTGGATTGCGGGCCAGGTCCCCAGATGGGGGTGTGTGAGAGGCAAGCCATCAGTGCTTCTCTGACACATTGATGTTTCTCTCCCTCTCTTCTTTCCTTCCTTCCCCTTTCTCTAAAAAATAAATAAAATCTTCACATAAAAGCAGAAACCCTGATAAGCTGTGTTTAGCACAATCTCTTTACATTGATGTTCTCCGTAGCACTTAGGACAGTTTATCCCAGTGAAAACACAGCAGAAGTGATACAGTTTGACATACTTCTTAACAGTGACAGTCCTTTTAAAAGAAAATCTGAAATACTCAAGCTAGCAGAAGTTTTAAGTTTGCATGTAGAATATCTAAAGTAATTTCATTTAAATTGCTTTTAAAGTAGAAGTTGTAGGGGAGTAGAAGACAAGCCATTCATATCCCTCTAAACAAAGTTATTTCAATGAGATTTTACTTAGACTAGGAGATGATTTAAAAGTCAGTTATTAAAATTTAAGCAGAGTAAAATGTTTTGTGTCTACTTGTTGTGGAAACACCTGTTAACCACCCAGTGATGCTTTTTGGAAATAATCATGTGCCCTAGAATTATAAACCAGAAAACCTGCAGTTTAACAAAAAATGATTTCTAAAACATCATGAATTATTTTAAGCAGCCTTATAAAGTCCTCTAAAATATTAGATTAGAAATTTTTTCATTATAGAAACTGTGTAGGAAAGAGCAAATTGATTGACATGACATTATTTTTTCTGTTCTAGGCATTCAGTGAAATTCAGGGACTGACAGATCAGGCTGACAAGTTGATAGGACAGAAAAATCTCCTGACTCGAAAACGGAATATTTTGATACGGAAAGTATCATCTCTTTCAGGTGAGACATGTGAATGATTAATAAATAGTGTAAGTTTAAGTATATAGTAAGGAGAAACTCTTAGTAGATCTTTCAGATACTACTTAGTTTAAGGCTCGGTTCCCATAGTTAATGCAGAGTTATCTTTTGACTGGGTGGGATATTTCTTTTGGATTATAATCACTCTTGCTTTCCATAGTTTCTGGGAACAAAGTTAAATCAACTGGGTTTCAATCGACTATTTATTATTATTATATGGGGTCGTATAGAGAGTGACAATTTATTCCCTGTCAACTTATAGGTAAGACAGAAGAAGTGGTCCTGAAGAAGCTAGAGTATATTTATGCAAAACAACAAGCACTAGAGGCACAAAAAAGAAAAAAGAAGATGGGATCAGATGAGTTTGATGTGTCTCCCAGAACTAGCAAACAACAGGAAGGATCTTCTGCATCACCTGTAGATCTTGGACAGATATTTATAAATAACAGGAAGGGGAAACCTTTGATTCTTTCCAGAAAAAGAGACCAGGCCACAGGTAGGAGGGACATTCTTTGCCTTCCTTAATGTAGAGGAGCATCAGTTTAGTTTAGTTGCTTAAACATCTTGTGGCCGTAATTTTAGTTGAAATTAAATGAATTAAATATGGGTTTTATAAAAAGTCAAACATTACATTTACATTAGAGTTCAGTTTCCAGCTTTTCACATTCCAAGCAAATCCTGAGTTACCGGTCATGGTAACATTTAAGATGTACTTCTGATATAGTCTGTAGTCATACATATTTTCCTTTAGTGTTTTAGTGAGGGTTTTTTTGGGCTGCCATCTTTTTCGGACTATATACATGAACCTTTGATTTTCTTGCAGTTCTGCTCATCAGTTGTGAGGCAGTTTGGGTATAGCTGAGAAAAATAAATTGGAAAAATTTTTAATTTGATTTTGTTGAATCAGGCTCTATTTTCCAAGAGATTGCCTATCAGTGAATTGTTATAAAGGACCAGAGTCAATTTGTTTTAACTTACTGCTCTTTCTACTCTTGATTTTTGGAAGTGAGGCGATACTGATTTTACATCATTTGTTTATATCCTTAGAGAATGGTATATCCTTTTTTATTCTTTGGATAGCCTAACATATGAACCAGGAAATTTGGTTTTTAAAATAAGAGAGAGTAGTGATAGACACTAAAATGTGAGCTAGTTTTAACATTGCAGACTCAAATGATGTTATTGCTAAGAAAGGATTATAATGATCATTTAGTTCAGTTACCTCATTTCACAGATGGAAAAACTAAGGTCTAGAAACTTGAAATAATTTGTTAGAGGTATGTAGGAAAACTAGCCTCGGTGTAGAATTGTGTGTGTCTTTATCCAGATTCACCATCAGGACTATTAGAAGCATTCCATTGAAAAAGTGCTTCCATAGCTCTGTTCCTCAACAACAACAAATTCTGATCATTAGAAGAACTAGTGGACAGGTAGCCATTATTCAGTGATAAGTGGTTCAGAAAGTAAATTCCAAGTTGAGGTTCCTTAACTAAATTTGAATTTACGTCTTACCTGAAGTCAGTGTGTGGTTTTAGGGCTGTTTCCTAGACTCATAGACTATACTTGGATTAGTTGAAGATTTTTTTATCCATAACTAGCCTCTGATCTTCCTTACAGAAAACACCTCGCCCTCTAATACTCCACACACCTCTGCCAACATTGTGATGACTCCACAAGGGCAATTGCTCACCTTAAAAGGTCCCCTATTCCCAGGACCAGTGGTAACTGTTTCTCCTGCTCTATTAGAAGCGGATCTGAAGCCTCAAGTTGCCAGCAGTTCTGTGGCTCAATCAGGTATGTCATAGGTGTTATTCTCTATGGATAGTGAAAAAGAGTCATCCCTCTTTTATGTCACAGTGACAGAGAAAGCTTTTGTGTTCTGCAGTGATGAAGAACTGTTGTATTCGCATGTGCCGTGGTATGAGATGACCCTCATTTTAGAACACATTTGACTCTATCTGTGGTATTGATTGGTCGTTTTTTATCTGGGTTTGGGAACCATTTTGTGATCTCTAGGTATTTCTAACTAGGAAAAGCACTGAAAAGATGTGAGAGTAGAAGGAAGAGAGGAGTCACTGTTTTAGTTTTTGGTACTGAAAAATATTTGTTAATTTTGTATTATAGTTAGAGATGGTGCACTCCTGTATTACCAGCCTGATTGTTTGAGCAGCACTTGATGTTGGAGATAAGGGGTAGAGTTGAAAAGGAAGTCTCACTTTGATGATTTAGGTTGTAGGTACCTAAATTTCTGTTACGGTACAAGGATATCCTTACTAATGCTAATAACTACTAAACCCAGTCTGGAGGCATCATTCTTTATCTTACTGTCCTGACTATAGGGCTTCATTTTTTCCTCATAGTAATTAGTTGGGTGAACAGAATGGAGATGCATGTCTGAATCAAGATAAAGAATTAATTTGGGTCTTGGAAGGGCAGTTTAGTTGGGGTGAGAGTCATCCTAATATGCCAAGATTGTGGGTTCAGTCTCTGGTCAGGGCACATACAAGAATCAGCTGAATAAAAAACAGATGTTTCTCTGCCACTCCCTCTCTCCCTCCCTTCCTGCTCTTTCTCTAAAATCAATAAATAAAAATTAAAAAGAATTAACTTGGGGAGCATTTCAATAAAATAATTAAATAGAACTTTTATTAACGATGGAATATCAGGTAGTCTTTTGATTGGATTTTACCTATTATCGTGTTAGGTTAGTGCCATAATTTGAAGGATTAACATTTTTTATCCTTTTGATAAAAGTAGGTTGGAATTTTAACTGTAGCTCCCCAAATGGTAATTGGGTATGAATGAGAGATAGGTGTTTACTACTGTAGATCTAAATGAAGTTTTTTTTCCCCCCCCAGAAAACGACGACTTATTTATGATGCCAAGAATTGTTAATGTGACATCACTGGCCACTGAGGGGGGTTTGGTAGACATGAGTGGCAGCAAGTATTCTCATGAAGTTCCTGATGGCAATCTACCTGACCACCTGAAAAACACTCTCAGGAATGAAGATAACACCTTTGAAGATTCAGGTAGACTCTCTTCCAGAGGCAGCCATAGAGATGGTAGAATGGCATTGGGTCCAACACAGGTTTTCCTGGCAAATAAAGATTCTGGTTTTCCACAAATAGTTGATGTATCCAGTATGCAGGAAGCACAAGAGTTATTACCCAAAAGGATTTCTGGTGATATGAGAGGGATTCAGTATAAATGGAAAGAGAGTGAATCAAGACGGGAGAGACTGAAGCCAAAGGAGTCTTCATTCCATAAATTAAAAATGAAAGATCTCAAAGACTCAAGCATAGAGATGGAACTAAGAAAGGCAGCATCAGCTATAGAAGAAGCGGCACTGGATCCCAGTGAACTGCTAACTAATGTGGAAGATGAGGATGATACTGATGAGACACTGACTTCTCTGCTCAATGAGATTGCCTTTCTTAATCAGCAACTAAATGATGACTCTGTTAGCCTGGCGGAACTGCCTGGCTCTATGGATACAGAGTTCCCAGGGGATGCTCGACAGGCTTTTATCAGTAAGCTTCCTCCTGGGAACAGAGCAAGTTTCCAGGTTGGCCACTTGGGAACTGGTTTGAAAGAGTTGCCTGATGTACAAGGGGAGAGTGATTCTGCCAGTCCTCTCCTCTTGCACTTGGAAGATGATGACTTTTCTGAGAATGAAAAACAAATTGCAGAACCATCCTCTGAGCCAGATGTCCTTAAGATCGTTATTGACTCTGAGATAAAGGATTCCCTTCTTTCCCACAGGAAAGTCAGTGATGGAGGGAAGAGTACTTCTGGTGTCCCCGCAGAGCCTGACAATGTTTCCTCACCCCCCATTTTACACATGAAGGCTGGCCTAGAGAACAGCAGTACAGAAACTTTGTGGAGGCCTATGCCAAAGCTGGCACCTCTAGGATTAAAAGTAGCTAATCCTTCCAGTGATGCAGATGGTCAGAGTGTCAAGGTGATGCCTTGTTTGGCACCTGTAGCTGCCAAAGTTGGGTCAGTTGGACACAAAATAAACTTAACAGGGAACGACCAGGAGTGCCGGGAGAACAAGGTGATGCCTACATTGGCACCCGTTGTGCCCAAATTGGGCAACTCTGGGTCCTCACCAAGTTCTGCAGGGAAATGAACTAACTTGTCCTCAAGCAGAAGCCAGTCTGTGAGGAGATACCTTTTTCTGCTGGCATCTGTTTGTTTGTGTCATGGAACTGTGATCCTTGACTCTGATGCAGTAGACAGTGGTAGAGAAAGGGGTAGGGTGCTGACCTGGGATTAAGAAATTACTACTATGAAATTCTGATCATGTTAAAAATGTGTTACCTCACTTGCGGTGCTGGGTCTCCTCATCCACCCTAAGAAGATGTGATCCATTACTGAACATGAGGTGCCCCTCTTACCCAAGAAATTAATAAGATTCTAGATTCATAGTGGTTTCCTAGTTTTTCTCTCCCAGAGAAAAAGCTGCTTGAGACTTTGGACTTGTTATGGACTGAATTGTAGTTGATAACTGTTTAAGTGTGAAATCCAAGGAATGTGATGTACTTGTGCAGCGGGATCCAGAAGAGAGTTTTTAGTTGGTGTTTCAAGAGTAGGTGGAGAGATGAATAGGTACCATGGAATACCAAAGTGAAGTACTTTGTGTCATTCAGCAAAATTCTCTTTCATATTCCAAATAGCTTCTCTTCCCTTACCTTTTCAATCGGAATTATCAATCTGAGCTTTCTGATAAATTAAGAATGCTTTTAACTTTATTACTAAGATAATTATTTTGAGATGTTCTCCCTTATTGTCTTTGGGCGTTGAAAAGACCATTTCATAGTACCAGACTCACCTGGAATATATATTTTGAAGGTAGGCATAGAGGGAGCCATCCTCCTTTCACAAATCATGTCACTCGAGAGACAGCTAAAATGTAAAGCATTCCCTCCCCAGACCAGAGACAGTGGCCAAAATAAAACATGTGGGGCTGGGTATTTCCCAAATCAAACCAGCCTCCTGGTGCTTGAAGGTTCATTTATTATTACCTGCACAGGATGTTAAGTAAAGAAAAGTCATAGTAGGCACTCTTTACCAGGGAAATAAGACAGTATTTGAATCACAAGATATATTTTTATTATCTGCTAACATGGGTTCAGTGATCTGTAGAGCTTTTTCACTTATTTGCTGTCAGGGTAGGAAGGACTGACAGCCTGTAAAGATAAAAATATTTATATTTTTGTATAGTTGTTTTCATAGATTTCTCAAAGGCTGAAGTTTTCAACCTAGAAGATGAGATTTGTATTGAGTATAGAAATGATGTTTCCTATCTAGTTTGTAAATAATCATGGTGCACTTGAGGAGTCTCTTGGAAACTCCTGGGGGCAAGAATCACTATTCTGAAAATGTATAGACTGGGATTTAGCTGCTGCATTTTGCCTTTCTTAAATAATTATATTTTGGAATGTAACCCATGTTCTGTCTTCACTGACAGGATTTGCTTGTGTTGTTAAACACTAACACAAGAGCTTCCAGTGCCTGGGCTGTGCCTAGGTAGTGCTTTTTCTTCTATATCCCCTGCCTTCTTTATCTATCCCAAATCCCACTCAGCATATCTTTAGACCTAGGTTGTGAGACCAACTTTGGAATGGTTCTAGCTAGTGAATTATTATTTCCATGGTTGGTTCCCTTTCTAGTAACTCTGGTAATAAACAGATTGAAAAGGGTGGGAAAATTTCCCCTGTAAATCACAGTGGGAGCAAATTCTTCGTCTTGTGCTACTTGCCTTTCTAGACCTTGTTCATTCAGCATTTAACCTTCCCTCCTATAAGGTTACTGAAGAAGCTTGAAGTACGTAAGGAGTGCCTCTTAGCTTCTCATTATCCTTCCCACTCCTCTTTACCCAGCAGATTTCATTCATGCCTTAGCCAAGGAGTCCAGCATCTGTCTTCCCTGCTAAAAAATGTCCTTTGAGATGCTAGTACTTTAATCCAGGTATAGCAGTTTCCCATTATTTCCTTGCTCGTCTTGTCCTCCCCATTTCCTCCTGACTTCCCAAAGCTCTTGTCATGGCTTTTGAGAGTCAGCCAAGGAACAGGCAAGTGAGCGAATAATCCTCAGGAAAAGAAGGACCATTCTGCTTCTGAACACTGTTCCCTTTTTTATAAACAAACAGGTAGTATCAGTTCTTGATGGAAAGATATTTGACTGTTTATGAGAGATGTACACAGATGGAAATGAGAGATGATTCCTGGTGTTCAAGGAAGACTGCAAATGTCACTGCTAACCCCCAAGATCATGGTGTTTTCAAGACCTCTTAGAACTAGGAATTAGCAAGCTATTTTGAGAGGAGGGCTCAGTCTTCAGAACAATCCTGCAGTTTGCCAGAAACTTAAAATCTCCAAAAACACTTCCCTTTAACCTTACCCCAGGAGAAACATTATGAAGATCACATGTGTGATTATGAAAGATGGAGTTGAGTGAGAGAAGTTGAATCTGGAGAATAGTGAGGAATCTGGAGAATAGTGAGCTCTCACCCTAACTGTCTAAGAAGCATGATCTCAGTAGACCAATAATTCGCCTTTTTATACATCTGTAAATAAATGGAATGTTTTTAAGAATATAATTATGTCAGATTTAGCCTTTTCTTTTATATATTAAATATATATCTTTTTCCTTTTCTGCTTTTGAAAAATGACTATTTTTTTTAGAAACCCAAGAACAGAAGAAGTTTGGGGAGTGGAAGGCAAACTGTGTGAACTTGAAATAAATAAATCAGTTATAATAATTAAAGAAGGACTTGGTGTTCGGAGGTTTGTGCTGAGTTGGAGTGGAGAATCCTAATGCCCTGAGTCATATTTGAAAGAGATGCCACTGAAGTAGTTTTATCATAGGAATTCCTTACTGTTTTCAAAATTCTGACATGCCATTTGGGGGAGGTTTTGGTGTTCTAAACCTTGAAGCATGTTTTACATGGAGACTTCAAAATTTGGTACAACTTGACAGCAAATGTAGGACTCAAGAAATCGTTCTACAATGAAGAAAGACTAGTCTCATTGTACTAATGTGTGCAAGGTAATATACCTGTTAGCCTCAGGAATAACAGGACATAAATATAGTCTTAGCAGGTAAGGACAAGAGATGATCTTAAGCAAGATGTATGTTAACTAATACTAGGATTTTCAAAAAACTTATTAAAGGAGTCCTTTAGATTGAACTACAGGACACAGATCAGTTCCAGGTATATACATTTCATACAACTTAGAGAATTTTATAGTAAATGCAGGTTCTCCCCCTCTCCCAAATTCTGGATGACAGTAGGCCTAATAATAAATTTGAAAACGTTTTTGAATAAAGAAGAGATCCATATATTATTTGGGCAGAGTTTAGTAGTATAAATTTTTTTCTCCTTATTGTACTGGCTGAGATATTCAGTAGTATCAGGTGAATTGACAGTTAAATGCACTTAAAAGACTGGTCTAAAAAATGGTGATAACCTTTGTTTCTTACTTCCAGAAGATTAAGAAAACAAACAAACTGCACAGAGTAGGCACATTTCCAGGTACTTTTTATAGAGAATGATTGATAACCAAGAATCAACACTACATTTCTTGCACAAAATTGTTGATTTTGAAGAAAATACTTGTATGAGCAGCAGTACTTCATGTATTACATTTAATGAAATTTTACATGGATATGAATGGCTAGATGCAGAGAAAATTAAAGATGAGGTATACAGACCCACTGCCATTTGGAGAGAAAGAGATCAGTCAAATGCATTTTTGAAATTAGAAATTTAACACATGAGAGTCAGCCAAGGAACAGGCAAGTGAGCGAATAATCCTCAGGAAAAGAGGGACCAATTTGAATTGAGATATAATTGTATATTAAACGAACTTCTCTACAGAGATATGTGTTGAGTAATAGTGATGGAGGTGTGTGTGGAATGTGAGATGGCTAAAACCATGGGATAAGTTGCGAATTTCGAGACAAATCGAAGCTTCACTAAGTTCTATTGTTAACTCTGCTGTTAGAAGAGTGTGTGTTAAATAGGAACGCAGTCTTGGAAGCATTGTTTTGAGATCCATCCTGTTTCCAACTGCAGGCATTGCTCTCAGCTGTCCCTACAGTGCCTTGCATGTAAAGGTGCTCAATAAATAATGTGAATTGATGAGCAAATGTTTAACCCTTTTTCCAGGATCTTAAAATTGCACCTATTGGCATGTTAAACCTAGGGTGAATTTTTAAAATCTGGTCTAATGAGCATAGTGCAAAACAAAGGGCATACATCTTTTCCTAGACATCTATTTTAGAGTGACAGCTATGTATACATATTTAGAACACACACACGCAGAATAAAGTGTGAAATAGAGTGGATGGTCAACTGCATTTTGGAGGGTGGGATGACAAGTACTTAATTTGGAGAAAAACGAATGAAATAAGGTTCCTGTTCACACCAGATCTGGAACTGTCATTGTCTTGAGGGATTAATTCATGAAACTTGGTAACAGCCTAGTTTATTCCCATACTGGCACTTCAAAAGCTGCCTGGTACCTAGACAATAAAGGTGGTGCTAAACTGAAGAATTAAAAATGTGGTTTTGGCCCTAGACTGGAAGTATCCAGACTTACACTGTTCAGTTGCTTGTCACCTAGATAATCTCAGACATTGAAAAGCAGAGCTTGAATTTGCTTCTGCAACTTGAGCTTTAGATGAGTAATTTGGGGAACATTTTCTCTAAGAGGACAAAGCAATGTAGCGCTGGACAGGAAGTGACCAATGACATTCTGTAAACCCATTTTACATGGGCTGTGAATGAGAAAACTAGTATACACAAAAGTTATCTGGAGAGAGGGACAACTTTAAAGGATGGAGATGGCACTTGCTGTGAGTGTAGCACACAATTAAGGACACCAGGTGGCACCATTTATTAGGGTTATATTGGATCCTACCACCATAGAGCTAAAAAGACAAGACTAGCAAAGGGTTGAAAAAACCAACCCCTCTTTTCATACTGTTGTGATTAATCACTATTGCTTGCTTCCTCCAGATTTGGGGAATAAAGGCAAAAATTCCATTTTAGAATTTCATTGCATCTGCAGTGCATGGTTGAAGGGAAGGAAAAGTTTCATGCCTCTGACATAATTGCTAGTTGGTCCAGGAGGTAACTAACTTCTTGATCTGTGAGCTTTAGAGAGCTCATTTTTTAATACGTTGTTAGAATACACGCAGCCACATTCCTAGGAGTCGTTTTCGTAATGTAGAAGAGTAACAGAAGCACATACCTGTTTTACCTCTTGGCTATTACAAGACCCACTCACAGCAATGAGTTCAGGAGTCCTTCCCTCTTGCTAACGCGCCCAACCAGGTGTTACAAGAATCTAGATAGGTTCAGACAGATGTACCGCTACTCTGGCTTAAGAATTTTTG